CCCCACGGCGGTTTCGGGTCGGGTGTGTGCTTCTGGCATTGCGGTTGTGTGCCAGGTTGGGTTTGTTTGTTTTGTGTTTCTTTTTTTTTTTTAAATTCAGAATCGGGTTTTCGGAAACATCCAGTGAGCTCCGGCTAATGAGGCACTGAGCCGGTGCTGTGGGTTGGAGGTTTTTGCCGAGGTGTGGCTCTGTTTCCTCTTCTGCAGGGCATTGAGTCTGTTATGTAAATTCCTTAGATAATCTCTGAGTAAAACCTCGTATAGTCTGGAAAATCACAAAAAGAGCGTGGAAAGTCGAACTGGATTTTGAACACAAGTTTTCTGCTGTTATTAAGGAAGATTTATTAAATTTGAACTTTCTTTAGCTGTTAACACTTGTACCCTTTCTCCCCACAACCTCCTGTGCATGTGGGGAATTGTTTAATCATTACGTGCGGACACTAGAACACTAAAAAAACCCAACAACCCACAACAACTATTTACAGGTGAAATCTATTTATGTCACTTAACATATACAGCAGGCTTTCAACCCTACCCTCTTCCTCTGTGCAAGAGCTTAACAGATTGTGTAGCCTGTTAATTCTCCATTGTATTTGTTGCTCTTTACTGCAGTAAAGTGGTTTTTATATTTGAATAATGGCATTTCAGGGCAAAAGGGTTACAAGATGCCTGCTTTCTCTGACCTACAAAATTCTCTTCCATTAGTGAAAGCTGTCCAATAAAATTAGTTTAAATGGAGCTAGTACCCTGTAGTCTCCAGGATCTATGGCCAGGTGTGTAAAATCCAGATGTTTTTTCTCTTTTTAATGACTAGGGAAGTGCATATTTTTCCATAAAGAAATGGTTAGCTTCTTTGAGTCCAGACAGCAGAGCTTTTTGTGGTACTCTACCCATACAGAAAGAAGAGGCTTCTGGAAGGATGCAGTTAGCACAGTTAAGGTCTGGGGAAGCACATGTAATTGCACACTGAGCTGTATACCTTTAAATGCAGCAGTGGCTCCTTGATGTACAGAAGGTCACAGGCAAACATTTTGAATCTTGCCACTTAAAATTATGTATAAAACAGCCTGCATGTCAGTGTGAGGCACTTTAAACTGCTTGGCTGAATGGAAAAATAACATGATGCTTGAAAACTGACACTTTCTTCATCAGCGATAACAAAAATCTCCGTAATACCAAGTAGTAATTCCTCCTAATATCACAGCATAGACCTTTCTATTAAGCTTACAGCAGGCTAATACTTGGTGCAATGTAGTGGGGGAGGGCAGACTTCTGTAGTGTTAGATCACTAGGTGGCACACTTGTCATTAGCCCACTGATATGGAAATACCCCCACGCAGTATTAGGGTCACTATACTGCTGGAAACAACATCTGATGTGATGTGAAACCCCAAACACATGTGATTAAGGATTTCGTGCCTCCGACCAATTGCAAGGAGCCTGCCCTGTGTCCTTCATTTGACCAAATTGGATCTTCAGAGTTGAAGGATGGCACGTCTGGTTCTTCATGTACAATTTCAAAACAAGTTAGCTTGTATGCTTTTGGAAATGGCTGCATGGTGTTCGTGAGTGCAATCTCCTTGCAGAGGTGGAATTCCCGGGGTTGAAAGTGGCTTTTTAAAAGTAGTGATAAATCTAGAGGAAGAGTCTTGTGGCTTGACATAGCTAGAGGTAAACAATATTCTAAAATGTTCTATTCTTCGTGTAGGCTGATCAGCTGACTGAAGAACAGATTGCTGGTAAGTGTCTTGATGAGAAATTACTATTTTTTTTGCTAACTCCTTGTGACTAAAAGAAAATATATTATTCAAATCTGTACTAATGCTTTTTTAAAAAGCACTTTTTAAAATAAAATCTGGAAGATTGCTGGTTCATTGCCTCTTAACTTAGCCTGCTTGTTCCTTGGACTACAGATAATGATATTTTTTTCCTAGGCTTTCAGGCTTGAGCTAAGTTCTTCTAGATTTCTTGCAAACAAATAATTGCTAGACTCAGGTAAACTTAGAGTCAAATCAGTCCTATGTACTATTTACTTTTTAATAGTGAAGATAAATTTGAAATGAAATGATAACAAAGTGAAGATAAACTTGAAATGAAATGGCAACAAATAAACCTAAAATTGATTTATTACATGTTAATATAGGCAGATGTCTTTTAAATAATTTCTAACAGAATGCCTATAATTCATACTGGTTAGGAGAGGAGTATTTGACCTTCTGAAGATCAGTCACCCACTTGTGGCTGACATTAATTCTCATTGTCTGCAGCCTTAAAAATAAGTGGTAAATGATAACACTTATTGTTTCTGTATGTCTGTTAATGGGTCCCTTCACTTGGGCCAGGCAGTTGCTGTTTGTGGTGCAACTGTGCCTCAAGCAAGAGGATATTGAAATATATTAGAGTTGTAAAGCAGATAGTAGCCACATGAAATAAGTTTGAATATATTATGCAAATTATGTGTTGATACTGTAAGTAATTTTTTATTAATACTTGAGAGGGTTAATTCTCCCAATACATGGACAGCTAGATAAAAAAACCTTAAAATCATATCGGGCACTGACAGTGGAGTGCATTTTTAGTATGCGGTTTTATCATGCTGGTGATGTTACTAAACACTGGGACTGTTTCTGCCTCTAGAATTCAAGGAAGCCTTTTCCCTATTTGACAAAGATGGTGATGGTACTATCACAACAAAAGAACTGGGAACTGTCATGAGATCATTGGGTCAAAATCCAACAGAAGCAGAATTGCAGGATATGATCAACGAGGTAGATGCTGATGGTAAGTGTTGGAAAGGTAGTTATTAGCGCTGTGATCATCTTAAGCATGTGTGACCTCTACACCTGGGCTTGTACTGCATAGAGAAGATTCTGTGACATTGATCTCCTGAAGTAGTTTCAAAATACTCCATAGAATTTAAATTCAGAGGGGTGTCAATTTTTGGATTGCTCTCTGTACAGCAGTCAAAGATCCTAGTGGTATTAGTGAGAATCTAAAAAAGGAGATGGGCAGAGACAAAGTTACGCTGTTTGTCTTTAATATTTTATGGGTCACAGGCTTCCTCTTGCTATCTGACTTGCCCTGACCTGCTGTTAACCTGTGTTTCCACCCAGCTTTTCTATACATGTTTCCTCAGGCCATGTTGGTCTTAATAGCTGTGCTAATGTCTGTGGTTTTGTCAAAGGCCAAAAATGTGGTAGGAGTGGAATAGTGCTAAACTTCCAAGAACTGAAAACGTAACAAGGAAAGACTGTATAGTCTAATGTAGTGTATTAGATCACTAATGGGGGGGGTGGGGTGGGGGAGGAATTAGAGGCAAAAGCAGAAAGCTCTTCCATTATCAAGTCTATCAGAATTATTTTAAATGAATGCCAGAAAGGGTAATTGCACATCTTGTTTCTGAGACTGCAGATGGGCTAGCAGTTATAAAAAGGAAAAATGTTTTCCCCTGTTCAGTGATGTCAAGGCTTTGAACTTGTATGTTGGTTGTCACAGTGATTTTTTTCCTTAATATTGCTTTAAAAGAAAAGTGAAAGTATATTGGCAAGAGTATAGAGGATCTGATTATCAGACTACATTAATTACAACTACTTTCCTAAAAGTTGACTGTAATTGCAAACTCTTGGATGCATGTACTGAAAAACTTTGGGGTTTGCAGTGCTATGTTGAGTTTGTGTATAGTGGATTCTCTAGGTTGCAGGCCCCAATGCTGCACTGATAGATTAAGAGTGAAAGGAGACTGAGGACTTCAGATAAGTGTGCCTGCCCATCTGGTTAAACTTGTTTTATGGCAGAATGCTTTGCTGTTATTCTACATGTTCATTGAGGATTTTTCAAAGCTGAGTACAAGACCTGTATTCAGATTTAGCTGATAAAGCTGGCCACAATGATAAATAGCTGCCTATGTCTTGGTGTGGAATCCCTAAGATGCAAAAGTTTTCTTAAACTGTATTTATTTAGCTTCTTTGCTATACTTGCCCAATGAGTTCGTATGTTTCCCTCAAGCAATGGGTAGATCTTAGTTGCACGGTGAACTACTTAATGTGGGTTTTTTGCCATATGGGGCTGAATACTGACTATACAAACCTAACTACTGCTGTTTTAAAGAACGTGTTTCTTCACCATACCACTTGTTTTGTAGCTTTGAGCTCCCTGAAGTTTGACTCCTTGCTTTGAATGAAGAACTAAAAATCTTAGGGCTGAGACCTGAATGTTACCCGGGATTTCCCGTTTTGTGGTGAAATACCTGTAAGAACACCTACTGCTAAGCTTATCGGAAGTACCAAATAATGGCAGCTTGTCTCATGTCACTGGAATTTACAGATCCTTGTTGCCCCTTAAAATGATGCATCTGTGGTGTACAGCATAAGTTAAGGAAGTGGATTTTTAACAAGAAACAAGTATTTATGAGCAGTTTAGTGAAGTGTAGTTTTCTGAAATTTTAAATATCCTGGATTTGTAGTGCCAGCTTTATAATACATTCCCTTCTGGAATCTCCCACAGCAATTAGGAGATTCTAAAGAAACTAAACGATTAATTTGGGGGTGTGACTTGAAATAAAGGCAAGTCTTAGTATTGGTTAACCCTGAAGCATCAGAGTGACGTTCTACTTGCAGCTTGGGTGGCAAGTGGTTTGGCTTGACCTGGTGAGAAGGCAACAGTTAATTTTGTTGTGCTGAAACACTGCAGTGACAGTGGTTACTGGACATTGTAATAGCAAAAAGGCAGTGTTAGCCATTGAGGGACAAGATACAGTTCTTCTATAAGAATGGTTTACAGAGGATCTGTCAGTCTTGTCCCTGGCTAAATTAAATGCCAGATTATTTTTTTTTGTGTGAAGAAAAGCATGGAAGTTTAATTTTTGAAAGTTTCTTTTCATTAAGGCAATGGCACTATCGACTTCCCTGAATTTTTAACCATGATGGCCAGAAAAATGAAGGACACAGACAGCGAGGAAGAAATCCGTGAGGCATTCCGAGTCTTTGACAAGGTATTAATAAAAGAACAAATATTTTTTTTAGGAGCAGTAATGGTGTCCATTTTTTTCCACAGTGTTTTTCTCTCTTCTTGTTTAGAAGGAAAACCATCTGCTGTAGTAGAAGCAGAGGGATTGGAAACAGAACCAGGACTGTTGCAGGCTGGTTCTACCTGCTTTACGCAGCAGGTATAACCTTTAGGCACATCCACAAGAGGCAAACTTTTTGGCCTTTCTTTAGGAGCAGAGATGAGCAGAACTTGATGCTTGTGGGCTGTTGTAGTTTTAGAGGGTGGGAGTTGCAGGGATGGGTTTTTTCTGTGCCTTCTGACTTCAGGGGAGTGGGGGAATGTTTGCATGGGTACACAAGGTTTTATACTACTTTATGGAAGCTTTTGAAGCTAAGATGATACCAGTATTTAGAGGGATGTGTAGTATTGCATGTTCTGTTTTCAAGATGTGGACTTTGAGGTTGCTTCACGGAAAATGTAAGAGCTCAAATCCCTCCATCTTCAAGGATACCTGGGTGTACATGATGAAGGTCAATTAGTCCTAGAACAGGGGTTCACCTCTTTGGATTGCTTGGCTATGACAGATGTATCAAGAAAATTGTATTGAGCAATGGCTGGTGCAGCTACTAAGCTGGTGCACACATGGGTGGAAGAAAGCCTTCCTACTTCTCCTTTTATGGAAAAAAGTGGCAGTTTCTAGTACTTTGCTGGAAAATGTGCTAGAGGAAATGTTTGATTGTTTGGTTAGTACTTCATCTACCCTATAGGGTTATTTCTGCAGAGTAGATTTGTGTTTAAAGCCACTGAGGTAGCTTATCTATTGGTGATGGCCATATGAACTCTTGCTCTAAGCTAGCATATTCTTCCTGTAGATGGAAGAAGACAACTTCTGAAATAGCAAAGGGATGAGCTCTAGGTTTGCGTGTTACTAATGGGAATATGGACTGAGTGTCATTCTCTTTCTTTTTGTTTGTTTGTTTTTCCCCCACAAAGCTTTTCACAACTCCTTATGAGTAGAACTTAAATGCCTTCTTTGAAGGTTTGTTCTAGATCATCTTATCTGAGAAGCTTAACCTAACCACTTGCAGTCTGGTTATAGAGGTGATATGACACAGAAGAGAAAGCTGACTTGCTGGTGGGGAAATTTTGTGGGGGGGGGGGGGAAGGCTTGCTTAGGTGGCAGAAACTAAACAAAACCCATTGTGGTTTTGTGTTTATTTTTGAAAGCTCTAAAAGTGTTAAATACCTTATTGCAGCTATAAATCGGGCGTGCAGTTATTCTTACAGTATAGTGATTGTGTAGAAGGATATAGTGGCATGCATGCTTAGTGAGGCAATGGGACTAACTGCATACATACTGTAGGGTTATACAGTGTAACGTGTATATATCCCAAGTGCAGTAAGGCTAGTTCAGAAGCAGTTAGTGGAAGGCCAGATGTAATTTCGGAGTTAATCAATGTCAGGCTTGCTGATCGTGATGTTGTGCAACTCTTTACTCACAGGATGGCAATGGCTATATCAGTGCAGCAGAACTACGTCACGTTATGACAAACTTAGGAGAAAAGCTAACAGATGAAGAAGTAGATGAAATGATCAGAGAAGCAGACATTGATGGGGATGGGCAAGTCAACTATGAAGGTAAAGAGATGCTTGTCTTGACTCAAAACCATTACTCAGATTGAGTGAAAGCCTGTTGCATAGGGCATTAGTGTCTAGTACTTGACACCAGTTTATTTAGTTGTCCACTTCTGTGGACTTTGCAGTGAAAGGGATTTTTTTTTATGCCAAGTGCATTTACGAGACTCACTGGTTAAAGTACTCTGGAGACAATAAATCACAGTGACTTTTTATCTTTTCAGAATTCGTACAGATGATGACTGCAAAGTGAAGAGACCTCCTTTACACCTTTTTTCCTCTAGAAGAATCAAATTGAATCTTTTACTTACCTCTTGCAAAAAAAATGTTCATTTATTCATTCTGTTTCTGTATAGCAAAACTGAATGTCAAAATACCTTCTGTCCACAAACTGCATGTAATGGTTGGTGGTCCTGTCCCCAAAAGATAAAGTTAAACATCAGTTTTACAATATAAATAATTGTACTACCTTGAAAATAAAAAAAAAAAGGAAGCACTTAGTGAACTCAAAAGTTCCATTTGCTAATGACTATTACACTGTTTGGGCTGGCCAGTTTTTCATGCATGCAGCTTGACAATTGAGCACAGTCAGACATTTGTATTAAAAGGATAAAAAAAAAACAACCTAAAGGATCCACTCTTTTGTTCAACAGTGGATTCTAGTTCAATTTGTAGTATAAATTGTCATAGCTGGTTTACTTTAGAATTGGTTTATACCTCAGGATGGTATGCAGCAAAATGGTTGAAGGATGCAAAACTTAGAGAAAATGCCCTAAAGGTTGAATGGTTCTCCTGTACGTAGCAGTGTGCTCCAAAAATACGATGATCTTAACTATGGATGGCATGTCTGTGTTAAAATACTGGTTTAACATTGTCTGCATTGCACTATAGTGAAACGGGTGTCGGGCTGTTACCGTTCACAAAATTTTTAAAAGAAACCTTCACCAAGGGAGCATCTTTGGACTCTCATATTTTTAAAACCTTCTGTACCATGACTTGGAGCTGGCGGAGTAGCCTGTGGACTTCAGCACAACTATCAACATCGCTGTTCAAGATACTACAATTTATGTCCATTCCAAGTTGTAAATGCTAGTCTTTTTTTCCAATAAAAGACCATTAACTTAAAGGTGGTGTTAAATGCTTTGTAAAGCTAAAATATATATATAATTGAGATAATAAACCAAAAAAGCAGTAGGAGGGAAGTGTTTCTATGAATGACTTGCTGCTAAATTATAATGCACATGTATGCAATAAGTTATCCCCTATCTTTTCAAGATGGCAAGAACTGACCTCCTGTAACCCAAGACCTTTGCTATAAATAAATGAACTTGTGCTTGCCTTTCATATTACGACAATGTTAATTTAGTTGGTCTTAAAGTCGTGCAATGCTGACTCGTCAACTATCGGCACAGAAGTAACACCTCATTTCACTAAAGTGGAGAGCTCTGAGCATGCATGTCAATACTGGGGAGACATGTATAGGTTGCTTATGTTTTTTTGACAGGTTATAGAAACTAGTTGGAGAATTTAAACAGCATGAACTTCATAGATATCTATGATTCTCAAACATGCCAAAAATGCATTTCTCTACCCACAGAAAAAACAAAAGGACATTTCTCTTACAATATGTTTAAAAAAAAAACAAAACCAACAACAAAACCTAAGCCTTTTTAGAAACTGGGGCTATTATGTCTTGACTATCTTCTCAAACACTTGCATGAATTTTGTGGGGTGGAGAAGAGGACTAGGGTTAATTTAAAAACCATCTTGTTACTTCTGCTTTGCATGCACTAGCAGTGCTTAGTCATTCCAGGTCTCTGAGTAAGTGTTCTCTGATCCTTCAGCTTCCCCATGAATGAGTGGCAAAGCAGCCATGTCCACTCTTCTTTGTTTGAAAGAAGAATGCTTTTTTGTGTTTTTTCTTTTTTTTTTTTTTTAATAGCAGAGCCTCCATGTGGAAGGCTTTTATGCTTGGGAGGGAGGGACTACAGCTTAATTACTTGACTGTAAGTTTGTTTCCAAACGTAACTGGAGTTGCAAACCTTAATTGCTTAATTGCCTTTGGTTTTGGAGAGTATTGATACTATCTCTTGAAAGAGATGTAAGTCTCCATTCATCCTGTCTAACTGAGGTGCCTGTGTTAAGAACTTGGTTGCTTGAAATGCAGCTTTGCTCAGTGAGGGTCAAGAGACACCTCCAGAAGGCAATTGAGACTATGCCTTCAGTGATATTTTTTTATTTTATTTTATTTTTTCCTTGGGGGGGTGGGGGGAGTTCTGGGTGACTATAGAGACCCAGACACCTTAACCAAGTGCCTAAAAGTTAGATGGGCTGAATGCAGGCAATTGTTTAGATCTCTAGTTGTAAAGGCTTTTGGTATGGCTGCGTATGCTGTCTTAGCAAACCGGCCATGATGATGGGAATGTCTGACTACTGTTTGAAAGTAGAGTCTTGCATGGCAGCTGCAAACTGCTACTTTGGTAGTGCTTGAGAGGCTGCACTGATTCTGTAGACCAGCTTTTAAAGAGAACGTACTCAAGAGACAGGCAAGGTAGGAGCAATGGTTGCTGCTCTGAACTAATTACTTCTTCTGCCTGAGTGTGCAGAGAGATCTTGTCTAGTAGGTAAATGCTTCTTACCATCTATCTGTCATTCACTCACGGTTGGTAGGGTAGTTCATTTAAGAACAGCTGCTTTTAGCTTATTCAGTGTGCTCTGTGCTTGCTAGCAAAGAGACCTCGTTCCTGCAAGAGGTTCTTGGCTTGATAGAAATTGTCTGGCAGTGTGCAGTGTTGGTATGCCCTGTAACTGAATCTGCCTGGAGGTATCTAATTATTAACTGACTTCAGTACCACATCAACCTCGAGTAAATGTATTCTCTGTACAGGACTGGGGTCCAGAAAAAACAAAAAGTATTGGTAATGAGGTTTGGGGTTTTTTTTTTTTTTTTTTTTTTCTGTGAGTGTGTGTGTGCGTGGCTTTGGCTTTTTCCAAATGTGAAAGTGTGGGCTGGATACACTTGGTGCATGGCTTAGAAACATGGGACTGGAAAGAACTTCCTGGGTCATCAGATCCAGTCCCCTGCTATTGCAGGCAACCGTGTCATATAATCCTTTTAATAAACTGATCAAGCTTAACCACCTGCTTGTAAGTGGCTTGTTTTCATGGAAGTTCTGTAACTCATGTTGCTCTCAACTGATGCAAGTAATATATGAAATATGAAGTTAATCAAAAGGTCCTCCAGCTTAGCTTTAGGTTTATCATTACACTTATTTAACTGACTTTCTCGAACCTGTTATTCTTTGCACAACACTCAGGAAAGTGTTGAATCTTTACACCCCCTTGCTATGAATAAGAGTTGGTGTGCTTGCTTATTTTTTTTAATGGAAAAGATGGATGTCTGGCTTGTTGAAATTTATTAGATATGTTAATTGTCAAGGCAAGAAACAATTGAGTTACTTGTATTTGATACATAAATTTAAGGCTAGAGTATACATAACCATTTTTAAAATACATCAACTTGCAGTGTAGTTTTATATTTAATACTGAAATTGTACTGCTAAAGTTTAAACTGCTGTTAATCATATTCCTCTTCTGATCATAATGAAAAAATAAAGGGTAAGAAAATGCTTAACATAGATTATTCATTATCATGCTTATTTTATTAATAATCCAGGCACTGAACCGTCTCCAGGTACGGGGCATTTATTTTGTTTGCTGGGGTGGGGTGGGATGAAGGGGGGGTGGGTACTGGTGTGGTAGAAGGCTCTTGTCCCCCAACCATTTGTCACACGTGCACAGCTTCACAAACACAGATGCTATCCAAAACTGATCAAGAAATTACCCGACACGTTATTCACTCATATGCACACGTGGGCGCGGATCTGATCCGTGGGCAGTGTACAGTGCTGCAGCTGCCAGCCCTGCACCCTGCCCAGTTGAGGGGGGGGTGGGGGGGGGGGCCCGGGGCCGGG